AAAGTATTACGTTTTATTACTTGCGTATTTAAATGTTAGAACAATTTATTTTCCTGCATTGTAGAACGCTGATTTTACAATAATTATAGATGAATAGTTAAATATAGGATACACGTGTACAAATACATAGGTTTGAATAAAAAACAGATTTGTGTAACGTTCTGATTACTTAGGATCAACTAATTTTCAAATTACAAAAAAAAAACACACTATTTTGGCAGTAAACAAATTTTTGTAGTCCTGATGTTTCCCCTGCTCAATGTGTTATAGATAGAGTCCTACTTTCCATCACCCGTGATAGGGGAGGGTGAGGAAAAAGTATAATTAAAAATTAAGGCTACTGTCGTGGAACACGGATCTATAGAGATAATATGTATGTTATTTGAAAAATGTTGTCCGGAGATTCACAAGCTCTGTATGTAACTTTTATGAGTGTATTTAGAAATTTAAGTTCTTAAAATTATACTATAAGGTAGTTCTTTAAAATAGAGGTTATAATTTTTATATGACGCAGATTGATTATCAACCCTTCCCCTCGTTCCAGGATTTATTGATTTTAAAATAGCTATAGACATTTATTGACCAATATAAATAATTTTAAAGGTAAAATAGGACGATTCTAACTGGTATTTGTCATGTTGTGATAAAATAAATAATTTTATCAAAAATGAGCAGGTGTACAGACCCTTTAACTTAAAAACTTATAAAATGTGTGATGCCAACAGTTATTTACCTTTTGTCTACATTATCAAACGACGCAAATCGTGTCGTGGGATTTTGTACAACACAGAAATTCTAACTAAAATTATAATGTTAGGCGCTTATATGTAAAAACCTATTAAAATTATTAGGGTCGTTATTTACGTATCATTGTCAATAATGAGCTTAAAGTATTATTTTTAGTATAAGGATAAATAAGATTAGTTGTGTGCCAATAATAATCATAAATCAACTAACAAATAGGAAAGATAACATGATGATTATTGATATATTCTAATTAATTTGTATGTAAGTTAGTAATCCAAATTGTTTTAAACAATTTATATCATATATTATTATATATATCTGTTTATAATTGTTTTACCGAAAACAAGTTGTTTTTTTGAAACGTATTCGGGTTTGTTGTATTATTTATGTAATGCTTAGAAGTTATGTTTTTACGATTTTACAAAAGTAATAGTTTTCCAACATGTACTTTATTTAATTTATTTGTTTTGTATCTGTGTCCACGATAACTATCAATTTGAAATTTCGAAGTATGATTTTATGACAATTTAAAATGAAATAAATATGAATAGGAATCTCACAAATTAGGGCAATTATAATAAAACATAAAAAACATACATTTTTCTTGAAGCTCACATGCAGAGCTCATGTAGGCAGTACTTGCGTCTAACCGTGTTTTTTTTGTTTCTTTATTTGTTCTTGACAATTGAGTGGATGATAATAATTTGGCAAAACATACATAATCAAAAACACCATACGAAGACTTGTAAATGATGTCAAACATCTGATAATGATAATAATACTTTTAGAAAAAACATACACACTAAAAAATGCCATTGCATACTATTATACATGTATTAAATAATCGTTTTTTTAAAACATTATAAATATAATAGTTTAACATTTTCAGTTTAATTGAAAATAATTTATTAACGGCTAGTATCTTTGTAAAGCACAACCCTCTATTTTTTTATTTCTACAACTCCCTGAATGTAACTATATGTCTTAAGTGGTGAAACAAAATTCATTAATTAAGACATTTTAACCAAAAATACAAGTTGAATTTATAAGATAATAACGATTAGACATTTATGGGTGTTTGCTATAATAATTGTGACATCAAGGTAACATTATTTCATATATAAGTTAGAAAGTATAAATTCAATATATATATAAATATATATATATATTTGTGTAAATTTTTATTCCTCTAGAAAAGCGGTGAACTCCACCTAATCCAAAGAAATTCAAAAAAAGTCTCACTTCAGCTGCCCGTCTCGCTACGGCTTTTATTTAAAATTATTATTAATAGCCACAGCATCAAAGGCTATTGGGTGAATTTTAGCAAACACATTTTTTTTGTAGTACATGGAAACAGGACGATTTTTGGGGAACATCCGATTACCATGTTAGTTTTTAAAAATATTGTTTAGTTATTAAGTTTTTATGGTTTTCTACTTTAGTTCTATATCACTAATCATACATCAATTAAAAAATAGGAAGCATAAAAAAACCTACGTTTTTGGTGAATTTATAAAATATGTTTATTGATAAAGTTAGTAAGTATGAATTTAACAGGCAAATTCAACACGATATGTTATTCATTTTAAATTGGGTCAATCGTGTAATACCTACAATTTTAAAACATATTTTGTCTTGTAGCTTACATGCGTAGCTTTTGTAGGTAGTATAATATGCGTAACCGTGTTTTTTTTTTTTATTTATTTGTTATTGACAATACAGTACATAATAATACTTTGGTAAAATATGCATATTTAAAAACACCTAAACATACGTAGACTATTAAGTTAAGTCTATTAACCACAATGAAGAAAAACATGACTAATTTTTTTGTAGATAATATTTTTAATATATAATTATCGAAAATTATAGGCTTAAAATATTCAGACAATAGTGGATACACTAACTGACTTTTGAAATAAATAAATAGTTCCAATTACCGTGATCTTTAATGGATAATAATATAATTAATAGTACAAAATGTGTACTAACTCGTGATCAAAGCTTTAACTAACAGATAAACAAACATACTTAAAAGTCCATGTAATATATAGAAAGATCTGTAAAAAGTTTAGTGTATAAAGCCAGCTTACAACGAACTTCAAATTATCTATTTTAACTCTGCATACAATGTATGAATTTATAAAATCCACGCGCACATACTTTGGTGATTAGGCATTTTATAAAAAAGAAATAAAAAAAGAAGAATAGGAATCAAAAGTAAAAGCAAATAGTTGGAATAGATGAGATAATAAAATACAACTTTACTTATTCAGCGAATATTTTTCTTATTGAAGTTTGTCTTATTGAAAGGTATATGTAATTAACAAATTATACATTTGATAGGTAACAAATTGTGTTCTTTTAAATACATTGTTATTAGAAAAATCTGAAGGTTGAAACACAATTATGATAAACAAAAATGACATAATATACACATATTTCTAAGCATATGAATTTGAAGATATGAGTAAGAGATGAATAGAAGAGATGCTATCCAGATGAAATTCAAAGAAATATTTATGTGGCATGCCCCCACACGTCAGTAGACTCAAATTTAGCTTAATAATACCAACATTTTTCCTTAAAAATCTTGAAATAATAAACAAAAAATTACCAATAGAATCTTTACTGATTTAGGAAATATGTATATCCTCAAACCCGGTTATTGCATTCTGTGCTGTAGTCACTTATCACAGTAATGTAGTCCATAAAGACCAAAGCAATAAATCTAAAATTTAAAAACTCCCACTTGTATTTTAAAGTCAATTATAATTTATATTTGGTCCATTATTGGATATAACAATATAAGTGATGGGAATTGTTTAATAATTATTAATTTAAAAAGCCCGTACAGTGGGGTCGGGGCATAGTGAGAACCAGGAGGCCACAGATTTGCAGGAATTATTATAAATAAAAGTAATCAAATTGTTAGAATAACTGTGGCGAGTACCTATTTATTAAACATTTACAGTTAATGTATTACGTTTTCCTGAATCGGAAATTTTTTATAATTTTAACTTATAACAAAGAGTTTTTGTAAAATCATTTATTGTTTAAATTGTAATCCAATGTAGTATTATTATTTTTTATCAAAACCTAGCTGTTTTTCACAGTGACTGTTGTAATGTAAACAAATGGTAAGTTCCTATAGGTATCACAAACTTTGAATATTAAAGGAATCTTCGTACTTTACAAAAACAATTTGTTAAGTTTTTTATTTTTTTATTTTTATCGAAAACGAGGTGTTTTTTATACAAATTTTGTTTTGCAGTGGTTTTTGTAGTATTTTTATGTTTGACCTATTTTATTTTTTGCACGGTAGCATCTTGATGTTGCAATAGTTATACATATATTATTTTAAAAGATTTGAATTTCGAATAGTTTTAAAATGTATAATAATAAACATTTCTAATTAGATTGTAATATCGAATTTTATCGGTGTAGAAGAATGTTAAGTTAGTACTTGGAAATATTTTCAGTCCCATTCTACCCAGCCCGGACCGATCTAGCCCAATAAAATAAATGTAAACTTTTTCAACTTTTAACCCCCCAAGTACCAACTAGATGAAATTTCAAAGCTTATTTAGGTTAATGATATTTTTTGGGTTTAATACTGTGTACATCGGTATTTAGAACTGTTCTAATTATTTCCAGATTATTATTGCACTCCGTATTCAAATTTTTTGTAAAATTGTTAATCTTAAAAAGCTGTGGTAAAGTATAGGCTAAGAAGAGATTTTTGATGTAACGATAGCAAACTAAAAAAAAATGAAAATGCTGGACTTAAAATGACCTAAAAGTGTATATAAAACCCTAGTTGATAATGATAAAATATAATTGCATTATTATGTTAAAATAACACGGCAATATCAAAAATTGATTTATTTCTGCTATTGACTAGTCTTTAATAACCATTCCTAATCCTATATAATACCGATTTAATTGTATATTTTTAATCTAACAGTTACAGAGTAACCAATACTTTTTTATACCACTAGTGTGAAGAACTTAACATGACTCAAAATTTGTTATTCATTTTGATAGAACACTTAAATAAATAAGTTGCTAAAAAAAATGTATAGTTTGGCTGTATTGAACTAGGTCCTATAACAAAAAACAATAAATTATATAACAATTGTACACACAATTTTTTGGCGAACCCAAAAATAATATACACTCCCTTCCAAACTCCTACCAAATGAGACAAACAATTTTGTGCAGAACATATCTTTATATATAATGTAATAAATTGTACTGTTGCTCCAGTAGTATTCAACTTTTTTGGTGCTTGACTTTAACTTAAAATCCAAAAGTTCAAATATAATTTAGCATTTCAAAATCCATACATTTTAAGATACTATTAGAGTATAGTTTCTTAATAAAAATGAATTTTAAAATAATTATTTTGATTGCAACATCCGTATTTTTCATTGTAATGGCAACGTATACAGGTACATAAAAAACAGTATACAAATGTAAAAAAAAGAGACGTTGACTTTTTGTTATTTTAAACAAGCTTTTACTTTATAATTTACTTAACTTTTTATCGATATTAATTAATTTATGTTATACAAATCTATTTTTCATGTTTTAGGTGTTGATGCAGGTAAGTTTAAAATTGAATTGCTCTATTTTTATTTATTATTCGTATTTCAATGACTGACATAATTTATACCTTGTTTTTAGTTTTTCGATAAAATATAATAGCAGTTTTAAATGACTTAACCTACTTTTAAAACAATATTTATGTAGACATTTGTTAACCTATATGAAATAAGAGGTTTAAAAGACAAATTTAGGAATGTTTGTTTGGTACTGTTAATACATTATATAGCTTTGTTTATTCAATATCGCAATTATTTTACTTGTATATCTTATACGTGGAACATTTACATGACTATAATAAACCTAAACGCTTTTGGATTAAAATAAAAACATACAATTTATGCATAATAATTTATACACAAGGATAAAAAAAAAATAATTAATTAACTTTTTTTTTCAATATTTCAGGTGACCCGGAACGTAAGTAAATGGATAATATCAGTTTATGGGCTTCACAAATATACTAGCAGTTTTAAAATTATTTTCTTAAAAATTATAAAGCTTAAAATGTGTATATAATGCCTTAAATTGTCGAAAATAATAAAACCTTTCCCTTGTTCATGAACATAATATACTGTATTATTTTGCATATCCGGTTATAATATTATTTTAAGATTTTTACATGTGGCTATGATAAAATTTAATGGTTTTGGATCAAAAGAAATTTATATAACTTAAAAAAATATATTTTTGTCATTCTTTTCGATTTTTCAGAAAAAATTCCCCCTTCAGGAAGTCGCGATGGACTACCACCACTACATACAGGACCACCAGCAAAACGAAATCCAGAACCACCAAAATCACCAACACCGCCTTCAGGACGAGGACCATCGCCAACAGTGCCTCAAGCACCAATACAACCAAAAAAACCGTAACCAAACCACCTGGTAAGTTTTATGATTTTATAAAACTTATATTGGTTATAAGAGTGTAATTCAATATACAATTTTATCATTTGTTTTTCAAATAACTGAAAGTCGGATGATAGTATAAGTTTATTAGTTTATTAGTAATTTACAAACATACTTAAACCCATCAGCGCCTAGCGTTACAACGTATGGCAACATCCATTTTTTTTAAGTACATATTATTTTTTTTAAACTCAAAAAAATAATAAGAAATAAGCACCCAAGATACCAATTATTGAAGAAAAAAACAAAACACCGGCGTTAAAGGGTTAAGTTTTAAAATTATTTTCAATAAAGCTGAAAACGTTTAATTATTATACTTAAATTTTTTTATAAACGATTATTTTTACACATAATAGTTTGATATTTTAAAATCACATTTATTTCCAAACTGAAACAATGGATACTAGTAAATCCTAAGATTTTATTTTAAATGCAAACGTCTTGTACTTCGTAATTTATAAAGAAGCCTAACTTAATTAAAATTAAAATTCATCTGTAAACGATTTTTTCACACAATATTTTAATATATATTTTTTTTTTTAGCTCAAAACTAATCAAATTTACCACCAAACCGCAGTATCCAAAATCCGTGTCACAATCTGAAAATTAATATGCTTAATAATATGTGTATATTGTAAAATGTTCTACTTTGCTTATCATAACTGTTTTTCAACCTTCAGATTTTTCTAATAACAATGTATTCCACATAACATATTCTGTTACCTATCATATAAATGTTATTATGTCTATTAAATATACCTATGTACCAATAAAAATGATATTTACCGAATAAGTAAATTTGTGTTTTATTGTCTAATCAATTCTAACAATTTGTTTTGACTTCTGCTTCCTCCTCTTATTTTTAATTCTTTATTATAAAATGTCTATGGGAATACGATAAATAGTGACAATTGCTTAACTTTAAAAATTATAACAAATATAAATATACAATGTATAATTAATTTTGATTATTTACTATTTATACTCATTATGCTATTGATTTAACCTTGATGCTTTGTCTGATTAGGTTAGGTTAACCACATATGTAATGAGCAGTACGGCATATGTGTTTTTTGCTTTAAAAGCAAAACATGATTCCAGTAATAAAATGAATACTAAATATTATACATCTTAACATTTATTTTAATATTACTACCATTGCTAAACTTTTAATACATTTTAAGAAAAACGAAGTTTTATGTTTCAACTCTAAAAAAACAATTTACTGTCATAAAAAGACGAGTGGGTATCATTTTTACTAAAGATTTCGTACAAATTTTAAACAGATCAAAAACTGTTTTCATATTTTTTGTTTTTTCGACAATACCACAAGCAAATGCAATATAGTTGTTTAATGGTTATTACGGTTCATAGTAACATAGAAGTTCACCCCATTTACAATTGCTTAGCATGCTAAGGTGTTTTTAGTATGTATATTCTGCCAAAGTACTATTGTTTACTGTTACCTATTATATAAATTATATTATTATTATTATGTACATATAAGAATACATTTTAAGAAAAACAGAGTTTATGTTTCAACTCAAAAAAAACAATTTACTGTCATAAAAAGACGAGTGGGTATCATTTTTACTAAAGATTTCGTATAAATTTTAAACAGATCAAAAACTGTTTTCATATTTTTTGTTTTTTCGACAATACCACAAGCAAATGCAATATAGTTGTTTAATGGTTATTACGGTTCATAGTAACATAGAAGTTCACCCCATTTACAATTGCCTACGCATGCTAAGGTGTTTTTAAGTATGTATATTCTGCCAAAGTACTATTGTCTACTCAATCGTCAAGAACAAATAATGGAACAAAAAAACAAGAAAAAAAATTTATTTTAAAATTTGCATTACAATTGACCTAATTTAATTGATATACTATATCGTGCTGATTTTGGCGGTGGAATTATTTTTAATATTAATTTTATTTTTACATTGGTATATAATCTCTTACGTTTAACGTCCGCTATTCCCACCGATCGGGGCTTAGACGGTTAAGATTTGGCATTTTTTGTCTTATAGCTGGCTGCCGACCTAACGTTACCAAACAAGTTGGCCGCTCAGATAGGTGCAGGTGACCATTTAGAACAGATTAGAACTATATAAATGCGTATACATACGTGATGACAATTTTTGTGAATTATTTCCTTATCTTACAACGGTGATTAACGAAAATGCATTTATTTTCAATAAAATACAATTAGGCACAAAATATGCAATTTACCGACCACCCTTTGTTTTTATCATCATGTAGTATTTTTACGCTGATTACGAATCGCAAGTCAAAATTTGGCGCACTCCTCTAGTTTCAAATTTCTTCAATAGCTTCTTAAAATTTGCATATTTTTGCATATATAACAATAGGTGGTAGCGACTGGCAACTGCAGCCACAGACGCTCGCCACCACACCATACATTTGTCAGCGACGCGAGTGTGCGCTGCTACAGTGTTATTTATTTTTGTTATTATTATAATATTATCAACGATGTAATGTCAATATTGTATTGAACAACAATATAATTTTCTTAATTATTAAAGCTTTAAGTTGGTAATTCATTAACTATACAAAACAACTCGCCAGCCAGCTTTGGGAGTCGACGCGAGCTCCTTGAAATTCCTAACCAGCGTAAAAAAATACTAAAACAAAGATACAAAAAAAAAAGGGTATCTGGTAATGTGCATTTATACCTAAAATTGTAAGTATATTATTTTATTTTATTGGCTAACATTATTACCAACTATAAAAAATGAAATTGAAAAACGCAACTTGGCCAGAGCAAATAAAATCAATACACCGGACCTAGATATCAGAAAATAATATTGTCCAAAGAGTTTTTTCAAGTTTAAGGAACTTAGTTAACATGATTTAACTAGAATATTAAAATTAAATTTGTTTTGTGTTAAATCATATTTAATTATTAGATGTTATCGTGTTATTCGAAGTTGTAAAGCATTTAAGGATTTGTAAATCAATACATATCCAATCAATACATAAATTCATTAAATAGGCTTTTTCAGTTGCTCCTATGCCGTTAAATAGCCAACTGGTACTTAACAGTTTTAATTTATGGCAACAAGCACAAAAACAAGTGCTTGAGTGGCTTTTGGTAAGCTATCGCAATTATCAGTACCGGTTCCATAATTTACATATCCTGATAACCTATTTCCTTTAAAACTAATGCTTTCCTTAATGTACATTTATCTATTAAATAATTTCAACATGACTTTCAAACGTTTGGATGCGTCGAGCGTATTAAAGCATACAAGACTTAGAACGAATACTGTTTTCGTCATACATTTAATAATAACGTAAATTATATAAGATGTTATTTTTCAAACCTAAAAGAAACATGTACAAAACAAACAAGCGAGTTACAAGTCAGCTTTATTTAGAATTATAACCGTGAACTGTTGGTATTGCTCATTTGTTAAAATTGTTATCATTTCTTATTAATTTTACATTAGAATTATCATGAGCCGTTTAAGAATCGTGTTGATTTTGGCTTTAGTGATATTAACAACCATACACTCAGGTATGTCGTTCTGCGTGATAAATATATTTTTATACATTAAACCATAGATGTACAGGTTTGAACGCACAACATAATGGCTATTTCTTCGGTTATAGCTACACACTAAGCTGTTTTTAATTTGTGTACAGCCTATTCACTTTTTTACTCTTTTTCAATGAATCCGCTATATTTATTCATATTTTATTACCGTGAAATTTGCAAAAACCTGACATCAGGAACAAAACTAATGACATGGATATATCTGAAAATTACCCAAAAAATGTTTCAAAATATGAAATATTTGATACATTCATAATAGTGCACTTGTTGAATATAAGCTTTAAGTAAAATTCTTCCACATCATGTGATTTTGTTTCCACTCTAAATATATTTAGCTACATAAAGATCTTTT